ATGACGCACACCAAGTACGTTTCAAAATTTTTTTTTTAATTTTTAAATTTACAACAAATTTTTTTTAATTTCCGAAAATCATAAGCAATCATATCGGTTACTTGGATTTTTTTATTTTATATCTTTTTGTAAAGAAAAAACTAATTTTTTTTTCTTAATAGTCTTTATGAACGTGGACTTGGCGCGATTTTTTTTTACAGTGAAACTGTTTTTTGTTCGGATTTTAGTATTTTTTGTAATTATAATAAAAATTTACAATTAGTACAAATTTAAATCTCGCGTTGGCTGCATTTTTTATAGCAAACTATTCCCTTGAAGCTATAGTTTATGTAAAAATAATTTCAGCGCACCCTGGCGGGTGTAGATGCAAGTTGTGAAATATCTTTTTTTAACTGTAGTGTCCCATCTTATGAAGGATTACTATGCATTCTCGAATATTTTAGTCTGTGGCAGATCACTTTGCCCATCGAAAAAAAGTCAGGATCGAAATTTATTGCGTTGCTATAGTTTGTGCTGATCAAATTTAGTAATTTCAAGTAGATTAATTGTTATAAGTGAATATAATTAATTAATAACATTCAAATAAAGTATGAATTACTGTTATAATATACAATCTAGGAAAAAAAAGTACTGTAGAATTAAATAAAATTTTGCAACCTCAAAATACCGTTCTGCTTACAGTAAATACAGTCGGTAGTCTGGCGCTCCGTTGACAACTGATTAGAACGGAACTTGGCGCCAGATTCTACCGAATCTGTGGATAATAATTTTAATGAAAAAAAATTTTAAACTTACAAGATTTAATGAATTTCTCCGAGTGATATTTTTCAAGAAATTCATTTTAAATTCTCCAAAAATCGTATCTTTAAATTTAATATAACTGTTTTCAGAATTATACTGATGCCCAGTGACTTTAATATTGAGCATGTAAAGTATCGTCCGTTTTAACTTTACTGTCTCATTGCTTCCGTTTTCTATGCACTCTAATCCGTCAATCTTAAAAAACAATTAAATTAATATTAATAAAAAAAAACAATTTGAATAAATATTAATTAAAAAATAAAATAAAATAAATATTAATAAAAAAAAAAAAATTTGAATAAATATTAGTTGAAGAATTAAATTAAATAAATATTAATTAGAGACACTAAATAAATTACTAAAAAAATTTTACCGAAACAGAACCAGAAGGAATAATCATCTCATTATCACTTGAAATATCAGGTACTGATTGTTGATCATCAAACCCTGGTACATCTCCAGAATAAGGAATATCTGGAGGCCCTAATGCAAGATTTCCCATAATTGGCATTTGTTTTAAGCAATCACAAGGTGGATAGTCTTTATCTAGCATTACTCCATTTTCGCATAAATGTGATACTTTCCCTTGAATATCCCAATCAGCGTGTATTCCTATTCCCGTCGATACTGTACTCTAATAAAATAAAATTATCAAAAATTTAATTTTGTATTAAAAAAAAAAAAATAAACTTAAATAATTTTAAAGAACTTTTTGTCAATAAAAAAATTAATTTTCCATTTAAATTAATTTTTTTTTTTCAGTGCAATTATTGATTTTTTATTTAAAAAAATTTACTTACCTCCACTGCAATAAACAGCAAAATTTTTAGGAGCAGAAACCTCATTTTATTTTATTTTAATGTTAAAAAAACAATCTAATAAAATACTTTAGCAATAGAACGTTGCTTTCTTGGCTTGAAACAGTGCATACATACGTGAGTCTTACCTTTAATTATTGTATTATCAATTTTGAAGCGCAATTATTTTTATCGCTTATTTGTTTGCCAAGGTAGCTTGTGGTTATTGTCTAACTTGGGGAATTATTTTATAATTTTTGTATAATTTTCTCAAGTAAGAAAATTTACAATTAAAATATTTTAGGGGCATTTTTAAAATTTTTAAATTTCTCTAATTAATACTAAATTGAATCCTAATTAATTATTAAAAGTCTATATTTTACTAATTTGTAAATTTATAAAAATTAGTTCCAAAAATTTCCGACAGGTGGCGCATGGTCGTTAAATTTTCTCGCTATTAGAGAGTTAATTTTTTAAATATAAATAAAGAACTAAAAATTTTTTTTTTACTATTCTAAAGAGCCTATTCATTCTAATTTATTCCTAATTTATTATTAAAAGTTTATATTTTACTAATTTGTAAAGAAAAATTTTTATTTAAAGTTCAATTTCATTTAAAATTATTAACAATTTTAATGAGAAAAATTTCTTTTTTATGTTAGCAGCTTGAAAAAAAAAATCCAAATTATTTATTTTTTAAAAATTTATTTTAATCATTAATAATTAAAAAAAAAAAATTTTTATATTTTTTTCAATTTATTTTTTATATTGTTGTTTCGTTTTAAATTAAGCTATGGAAAAAAACTCTAAAATGTCGTAAAAAAATTAAGTACACTCAAAATAAAATTGTTATTCTTTATTGAATAACAGATATACATCATTTATAGATATATCAATACAATTCATTAAATTCCAAAGGAAAATTTTTTTTTTTTTCGGTCAATTATTCAACGCAAGTAGAACCACCTTCCAAGTACCAATAAATTTTACCAAACCAACTTATTGTTTCATCATCATCATCATCTAAATAAATTAAAAACTCAAGCATATAGTTGCCGCACTTCAGTGGCTCGTCGACTGTTACAGTTATTGGAATTTTTTCGACAGTCGGGAAAGTGGTACCCTTTGTAAATAAATTTACATTAAATTTAACAATAATTGATTATTATAATAATTATTCGTATTAGTGTAAAATAAATACCTTGGGATAATTGCAATTATTATTATTATGTAATAGAATTCGATCTACAATGCTCCACAATGTATGTTCCATAGAACCTTCTTTTAGTGATTCACCACACATTGTTCCCAAATTATCTTCAAAATGATAAATTTCTTCATCGTTTAATTCTAATTTTAAATAACTCTGCAAAAATTAATATTATTATTGTACTGTAAAAAGTAAAATTTTTAAATATTAAGAAAAAATTATTTTAGTCATAAGAAGTACTTAGGCTGCATTCGAAAATTCTCCATCTCTAGGTACATAATTAAAAAATGACCTTGTATCTCGTGAACTATTGACATTTTTAATAATATAAGCTCATCCTGACATTATACTTATCGAGACCTTTCATTTGAGTACCCACATCAATTTTTCATATATTTATATATATTATATATATGTATATATAAAAAATATATCAAAAATGCATGTGGGTACTCAAATGAAAGCTCTTGATGAGTGTTACATCGGAATGAGCTTATATCTTCAAAATACATATATTATATATATGTATATATGAAAAATATATCAAAATGCATTTTATTATTTATCTTTGAGTATTAATATTAAAAAATAATAATTAAAATTTAATATTTAAATCATTTCTTCGAAGAATAATCACAAAAAAATGTATTAAAATTTTCAAAGAAAATTTATTCAGAAGAATTTTGATTTTTTTTAATTATAAAAAATCAAAATAGTAAATTTTAACATTTTTACTGATGTAATTCAAAATTTTTAATGATATAAGCAGACCTCGACATTACACTCATCGAGACCTTTCATTTGAGTACCCACATCAATTTTTCATATATTATATATGTATGTATATATGAAAAATATATCAAAAATACATGTGGGTACTCAAATGAAAGCTCTCGAAGAGCTTAATATTAAAATGAGTTTATATCTTAAAAAATTTCAATGATTAAAAAATTACCTTGTATCTTGTCAACAAATGACATTTTTAAAGATATAAGCTCATCCCAATGTTACACTCATCAA